ATATATATATATATATTTCTGTTCTAAAAATGCAACCAAATCTATTATGGTAATTTATATGATTTGCGCCGAGAAATCAGCTAATCGCGAGCCGGAATGAAAAAATGTGTGCGTTGTTTGCAATCTTTACATTCAGCATCTCGCTTTCTCTCTTTTCGTCGAACGAATATATTTTTATTTTGTTTCAAGTGCAAAAATTTTTAAAGATTTCAAAAACGCAATAAACCTTGAAATCTATTGCGCAAGCGATTGGCCGGTTCGCTCGAGCAAGTGTTAATGTATGTTATCGTGAATAGACATTTTTTCTCTAAAAAAATAAATGAATATAAATTAACTTTCTAACCAGATCTTCCACATGACGATCTGATATTTGGCTTTTCAAAGAGATTGAGCAAAAACGAAAAATTATGCATGAATTATGGAGAAGCGGATATTCGTAGGTATTCGTGAACGCCATTGAATCGGCAGGAATGCCGTTAGTCGCATATCACGAAGAACAGTTAAATTGCAACCGCATTGACCGCTCGTTTCCAATGTCCCCAATATTCTTCCTTGCGGCGAGTACATCGAACGGATTGCAATATAGGTGTCAGATTCCAACGTAGCAAATAGGTTCTGATAACGTCGCAACACGATTTGACGAATCGGCGAGGAGAAGGGAGAGAATAGTGATATCTTGAAAAAATATTAATTGATATTGACATTGCATCAGTGACATCCAAGACAGCCGAAGCTTCAAAGTTCAAGAAAGCATACCGGTGAGATGAGTTACCTAAAATCGATCGGCACCGCCGTCGTTTACATCAGCTTAATTTTAGCTGTGATCACATTCATACCCGGTTTACCACCAGAGACAGAATTCGTGGAGTACAGGTATTACGACGCAATCGAGAAGAAAACAAAATTTATTTGAATCATGGCTGATCATTACGATTTCCGTTGATCTTGATTCTTTGATCCTTGCAGCATAACTCCACCACGTCAATTAGATCTCAAGATAGGCCCAAAAAATCGGCTGAACGGCATTCAGAAGCTGTTCACTGGCGAGATTCATGCCCCAGAGAGTTTTGATTCCTATAACGGACAGCTCTACACTGGTGTCCACGGTGGTTATGTTCTCAGGATCGAGGAAGATCGCATTGTGCCGATTGTCAAGTTCGGAGAGAAATGTGGTAAAGTTATATAGATTTTGCAGTGATCATACATTTTTTCCTATGAAGTGCTTGTTTTAGTAGCTGTCTCTTAAATTTATTTATTTTTTTCTCAAAACTTAATTTTACCCTTCATTTTAATAATAATAAGTCTATTTTTTATTGTTGCACTTTTTGAACTAATACACAGTGCAATAAATTAAACAAATGAAATTAAACAAATATATATGTTTGTTTCATTTCAGCTTATATCTGTTTAGAGTGCAGCAATAAAAAACAGATAAGATACTTTTAAGATTAAGGAAAATTTTTTTCTTTTTTAATTAACATTTCAATGTCTAATCACACTAACAAATGTAACTGAAATTTAATTTTATGCGAAGATATTAGTCCAAACAGCAAAGTCATAATAACAGTTTCAATAATTAAATTTTTATTTAATTTTCTTACTTTCTTGTCTTTTTATAGTTCTTATCCAGTTTTTTGTTTTATATCACTCGAGAATAAAAATTAACGAACTTTGAAAGAAACAAAAAATACATAACAGGAAATATAATTGTCAATAAAACAAATTTTGGTTGCAAAGGAGAAAAAAACAAAAGGTAAAAAACAAGAAATAAGAAACAAAGAACACATTGTAGAATAGATTTATTTCAGATATATTGTGCAAAAAAAAAATTTTATATAACATTGAAATGATTTTATATAACATTGTAATTTTTCTACATTTATCAATGAATGAACTTAAAGACTCGTACTTGAATAAAGAAGTAAAATAAAATAATCATCGATCGATAAAAGTTTTTTTAATTAAAAATTTGTTGTTTTGTTGACGCATTAGATTAGATAAGAAAATATATATAGATAATATATATATAGATAAGAAAATATCGAGACTGAGTATGATTTTAGTAACGTTCTCATATACATTGACAGTATTGAAAATTTATACTAACATTAATAGATAACATATCTATTAATGTATATAATAGATAACATTAATATATAACATTTATAGATAAATGTTCAGTACTATCAGTATGTTAAACAAAGTTTTATTAATATCAAGTGGCATTTAACATTAAAAAATTTTTTTAGGAACGATAAATGCTCAAAAAGGAGCTTATAAGAAGGAGCTTTATTAGAAATAAATCTCACAAGTGTTGATTTTTTTCAAATAACGCGTAAATTTTTTTTATTTTCTGCATTTTGATTTACGATACCAAAAGATGATACAAAAATTTAATTGACATTGATATGACTTTTCTAAGAAATTCCCAAGGTCAAAGATCTACTTTACATATCTTTATAAATTATTATTTATCTTTAGAAATTATTTATCTTTAGAAACCTTTGTCCGAAACATTTTTGAAGAAAATACATTATTTATCTCCAAAGTATTTAAATATTATTATTACTTTACATATCTTTAAAAACTATTATTTACATTATTTACATATTTTTAAAAAAAACTTTTGTCCGAAATATTTTTGAAGAAAATGCGTTATTTATCTCTCTGAAGTATTTTATCCCATTATTAAAATCTTAAGCCATTGCATAAGCTATAATTAATATTGAGCAGTTATTTTTTGCAAAAAATCATTTTTTATTATCTTGAATTTGTTATGAAAATCCAAAGAATAAAAAAAATCGGTGATATTTGAAAAAAGTTACTTGTCATGTGATATATTTCGTTAAACTGTATAGGTCATGTGATATATTTCGTTAAACTGTATAGGTCATGTGATAAAGAATACATAATATTAAAATAACATTATACTTACAAAGCGTCTTCAGATGGTCTGGATAATATATAAACCAATATATAAACTTTGCATACATTCATTAAATATAGACTTACATTAAATGTAATTATACACATTGGCCCGTATTCAGAACGATCTTATCGCGCTAACATGCTGTAATTTACGTCACGCATACTATAGAATTTTAGAGATAAAAAACACGCTTTCATTGATAAAAATGCATTCTGAACACGGGCCATTATGTATATGTATGATATTCGCTAACGTTGGCGAATTTTAGTCATATTATTAAAAAGCGCCATAATACTAACGACTCTAATTTTATACTCTATTTTTATACTCTATATAGATGATAAATCAAAATAACAAAACTGATTACATTTGAAATTAATATTTCTTAACTTTGTAAATAAAACATGATGTGCATATATGTATACGAAGTAATACAGAATTAATGAATATAAATAAAATAAATTTTAGGATAAAATCAATACAATTAATTATATCAAAATATATAACAAAATTGATAATGTATTTTCTTATGAAATTTACAGATGGTATTTGGCAAGAACACAAATGTGGGAGACCATTAGGCTTAAGGTTTGATAAGAAAGGCAATTTATATGTAATAGATACTTATTATGGAATTTTTCAAGTAAACGTTGCAACCGGAGAGTATAAAAATATAGTGAACATTACTAAACCAATTGATGGAAAAGTTCCAAGGATACCAAATAACATAGATATTGCAAAAAATGGAGACATTTATTGGACTGACAGTAACACAGATTTCGCAATTAATGATTTAGCAATGACATTGCTAACGAATCCATCAGGAAGGTAATAAAAAAAGATATAAATTCTAAAATCAGTTTTATATTATAAATATATGCCCACATATTATATATATTTATATACATAAGTTAATTGTATTAATTACAGACTTATACATTATAATGCAGCTAAGAAGGAAAACGAAGTATTGATACGAAATCTTGCATTCGCAAATGGTGTTGTATTAAGTGATGACGAAAGTTTCGTACTTATAGTAGAAACACTAAAGAATCGTCTTATAAAATATAATTTGAAAGGACCAAAGGCAGGGCAGCACGAGATTTTCATTGATGGATTACCGGGTATACCGGATAATATTCACAGCGATAGTCACGGTGGTTTCCTTCTTTCTTTGATTGTTGCTGATAACCCTGATTATCCTCAGATTTTTCAATCTCTCACACCACATCCCTATTTGAGAAAAATGTTACTACGGTTGACAATGATGATGAAATTGCCATTTAAACTATTAAA